TAACCCTGGGAACTGCAGATCCCCAGGCCACAGGGACTCTGATGGGGCGGGTCTAAGGCAGGCCCAGGAATCTGCATTTTAATAAGCCCCCCAGTTGACTCTGATGCGGGACCTATGCTCTCTGGAGAGTTATCTTGGCATTTCCAGAGTCCCCCCCCAGATCATCCTAGCTGTTCCCCTCACTTTCCACAGTCTCAGATCTCCATTCAGTGTGTTGCTGAAGTTTTAGCTGTGAGTTCTGCAGACCATACAGTAAAGGATAAAATATCCTCCTTCCAACTTGGCTCTCAGTAGGTTTCCCAATCGTTGAGGGATCACAGTGGGGAGCCTTTTGGGGAGAGGGACCCTGAAGGCCATCTGGCTCCTGGAAGGCCCCCAGCACCCCAGGGCCCTTGTGGGAGAGAGTCTTGGACCCACAGGTGGGATCACGTCCGCTGACTTTGCCTCTGTGCCCCCGCAGCGGAGACCTCACCACTGGCCCGCCATGAAGTTCTGCAACCACCCCAACCACTCCACCTACACCGAGGTTGAGCCCTCAGGCCATGAGAAGGAGGGCTTCGTGGAGGCAGAGCAGTGCTGAAGTCTCCCCTTCGAAGGGTAGGAAACAAGACCCGGGGACCACAAAAAAGACGAGTCAAAGCAAAGAGGAGAAGTGACTTTTCCTGGCCTTGTCTGAGCATGCCCTGGGCCAGAAAGATGAGGCAGTGGTTTACGGTACCAGAGCTATAGCTGGTCATCAACCCCAGATAGTGAAGAGGGGCAGACGCGCCACCACGTGGACTTTTTGAAGGAACAATAACCTAGTCTCTTTCTGTTTTGATGCACGGGGTCTCCCCTTCTGGGTTTCTCAATGGTCTGCTCTGTAGAAGTCCCAGAGTCCCCTCACCCACCCCCAGGGATGGCCAGATGCTCTGCTCCTGGTCACCTAAAGCCCCTGCATATGATGCAAGCTAACTAAAGTCTAGATTGGGGCTGCTGCACTGCAGGGTCCGTAGGCTCAAGAGCTGGTCCTCGTGGCTATGGAACTGGTGTATTCAGCCCCAGCTTCTGTGGCTCCAAAAGTCTGAAGAAGGAGCTCTCTCCATCTGTTCAACACAGGTAAAGCCACTCGCAGCCCTCGCGGCATGTTGTCATCAGAGGAAAGCCAATTAAGAGGATTGAAAAGAACTTGCTGGGAAAAATGCACTTTTAGGTTTTGCTCCCTGACCTCTGCTGAGAACCAGTACTTCTGTATCAAAATGCGTGCAGTCCGCACCACAGGCTTTACCCCAGCCGGTGGCCCCGCCTCGACCTGGCCAGCTGTGCTGTGCACGGCCACCTCGACCACGTGGGGCTCTTTAGTCCAGTGGCAAGTTTGGTGCCCATTTTATTCACTGGCGCCTTCTGCTGTCAGTGCCAGTAAGTACCTCCAAAGGCAGGGTTTGCCTGATTAATATTTCTCCTCCTCTGAACTGGATTTTTATAGCCGTTAAAGACAAGTAGGATTGGCTAGAGGGTTCCCTGAGGCACACCCGGCAGGGAACTTTCTTTGGATTCTGCTGAGAAGCAAAGTCACCAGGATGAGTGGGACAAAGGATGGCATGGGAGTGCGGGATTTTCCACACTGGAAAGTTGCCTCCCTCTAAGACCTTGACCTGGAAAGTTGCCTCCCTCTCCTCAGCTCTGCCAGAAGTACTGGAGCAAGGAGTTTAGGGTCCCAAAATTAAAGCTGGTTTTAAGAGAGTTCTGTCCCAGTGATGATTGGGGCTGCTTCTGAAGGGCACTTAAAATTAAAATCTAAAGCTCACCTTCATTCAAAGTAAAAATATCAGCAGCAAATAAATGTT